CACAGAAAAGAAGCCTGAGCCCTGATATTACCACAGACCTTTAGATCCTACCACACCTGAAGCCAACAGAAGCCTGTACATTCCCTAACTCATTTTATCCCATCTGACTTAATTCATACTGCTACTTGCAACTGATATAGAATGTGAGGTGGCTCTTAGGATCAATTAGCTCTATTCTCCATGGATAGCAGGAATAGTGCCACATACTACACACCCTTCTAATTTCTTCACTCTGGTGCTGGATCCCTTTGCCACCTTCAAGTTTAATCCATCTTACTTACCTTAAAAGTATAAAAGGTTAGGAAGAATATTTACAAAATGGAGCCACAAAAAAAGCCAGGTGGGTTAATTGGTCTCATAAGTACTGATCTCCAAACTTGACATGTTGATTTCAACTCACAGGGAAAATAACAATAGAGAAGGATCAAAATCTTCATGGTAAAACAGAGCAAGAACTTGGATAGCACTGCATTCTGGTCTGTATTCCTCCTGTGAGAACCTGTTTAAGTGATTTCCCCTCTCTGGTCTATTTTCATAATACAAAATGAGGGGATTGGACTAGATGACTTCTGAAGCCCCCAGCCTGTCCAAACACTTTCAATCATTCAGCAAATACATCCTGACTGTCTTCGAAGTGCTGAGCCATGTGCAACGTGTTAGAAGAGGACACTGCCTCAAGACAGCTCCAGGTGGAGAAGCCACATGCCTCTGGAGCTGCACAAGGCGTCTGATTTATAAAGGACACATAATGCTTCTAGAATTTCTGCATTTATCTGGTCAGACAGTGACTTCTTGGGAACTGAGACCTGTACAGGTTCCCTCCTTTCCCCATCTACTGGATGTGAGAATGGTGGTTCTCTGGAGAAGCAAGACTCTTATTCAAGTCCTTCTCTAACTGACTCTGACAAAATGTATGTGATGCAGTGGGTCAGATATATGGAAAATACAAAAGACACGCGAATTCCATCAGGAGCATTTAGCTGCTGTAGGACATACTTCCAGCTGCCAAGTTCACCTCCAGGTACTTTTTTATACAGTGATAACATCTCATATGCCATGTCTATATTAAGAGCTGACTGTGGACGAGGAGCAATTAGCAAGCTCAGTGGTTATCTTTCCCATGGGACTTTCCTTTTTCATTCCTAATTCCATTATTTATTTTTGGTGCCAACAGATTAAAGGCTGAATATCTTTTAACTATAGCCTGAAATAAAGCATTAGAATATGAACAAACCCTTAAACTGGGGCCTCATCACAGGTCAGATTTGGAGGCCTGTTGTTCAGACCTTCCCAACATGTACTTCCAAACTCACATAACCCCAGGACATTAGGCCTGGAAAAGCCCTAACAAAATATCTGTTTCCTACATCACAAAGAAGTTCCAATGCCATTAACTCCGCTGGAGTAGCAGTGTTGAGAAATAGTCTGAAGCAACGTTTGCCCTAGTCACAGGAAAGGAGGCATCATTATGTCGCACATTTGCCTTTCTCCCTTTTCAGATGAGGAACCCAAGGACCAGAGAAGTTAAACCACTTTCCTGATGTCACACAGTGAGTTTAGGGCAGGAGAGAGGGCCAGAAGCCAGGCCCCCATCAGTGGGACTCCTTGGCAGACAGCAAGCCCACAAGGAGGAAGAACACAAGGAGGCAGATTTGCTCTGGTAAATCAACCCTTCCCTAGTGGCATCAGATTACACCTGGGCAAGAAGACAGATGCAATTAGCAATCTAAAGGATACCAGCCCCTATGTAAAAAATAAAATCATTCCAGGCAAATTTCCATGGCACTTTTTGATGGACAAAGAAAAAAAAAACAAAACAAAAAGAAGGGGGTGAAGTATTAATTTCTGGATGTTCTAAGAATAAAGTTCAGCTCTGAATGAGAAAAACTCCCAATACTTGAAAATTAAAGTCACTGACATTCTACTATCCCACCAATTTCTATTCCACAGGCACTATTATCCAATGAAGTCATTTCTCACTAGAGATTATATGGTTCAGAAATGGAGAGGGAGTGCATCAAGTTTCCTAGCATGCACTTTTAATAACCAGTTCCCAAGCCTGGAACATGAAACAGATTCTAGAATTAAACCAAGATGTTAGGAAGATTGGGGCTAGGAAAGCGAGAGCAAGCCCTAAATTGAAAGATGGCTTCAAGGCTAGCTTTCTCCCTTGGTTTTGCAGCTTTCAGAGAAGCCAGCTGTCTGACCAGATGAATGTGGAAATCCTAGAAGCATTATGTGTCCTTTATAAATCAGATGCCCAGCACGCTCCAGAGGCACACCCAGGATGAACTGGCATGGCAGTTGTGTCTTACATTCTAACAAATAATAAATGCTCTTCATTTGAAACTATTTTTCAATCCGGTGGCAAAATCAAGGAATTAGAGGACTGTACAAACAATGGGTATGTTGCCCTCAGAGAAACTTCTCTAAAACCCACAAGGAATATACTTTATCACTTGGACAAAGTCCTGCCGGACTTCCCTCCAAAGTCTCTGCAATTACTTCTGCCAACAAAGATCAACAAGATGCTCTGGAATGGTTCTCAACAATTATAGGCTGAGCTCAGGACTGGTCAGCCCTTCACAACAGCTCTGTGTGCACCATGCTGTATTTCTCAGATAGTAGCCTGATGTGTTACATGCATGTTCCAGGGCACTGGGATGAGGAATGGAAGAAGTCGGCCTCTTTGCTCAAGGCCAGCTGACATTCAAACAAGGGACTGACTGGAGGCCAAGCCCAGGGCTGTGCATCTGCAGGAGAGTGGAACACAAAAGGGCTGTGTGGAAATTTGGCAGAATGTTCCTGAAAGGCAGCAGCTGAATGCTGAATCCTATAGCACCTAGAAGAACCTATCATTGGGAAACAGCTCCCTTCTGCTGCTTCTAGGACACAAAGAGCTTTTCTCTAAAGCAAGGACAATCAGTTGGCAATCCTCTCTTACCCCTCCCCATGCCAACCCCCTTCATCACTTCTTTCTTGTCTTTATGCTATTCCAGAGAAAAAGAACTGAGCAAGAATTAGACCTGCCCAGATGAGCCGATCTGTGCATTTCAGAAAGGGGCTCTCAGTGGCACCCAGCTGTTGCTATGCTCTCCCTCTGCCCAAAAGACTTACTCCATCAATACCCTCTTGTACAGAGGGTAATTTACTTTGAAAGCACAGGCCAAACTGGCAGTTAACCTTGACCTCTCTACACATCTGGGTCTATAGAAAACGAAAATCAGGATGTCTCTGGCATCTACAGCAAACGAAATACAAGGGCTTTCTTCAGGCAGAGGCAGAATATCAAAAGCTATTTTAGATCTGGCTACAGCTATTTCACAGGAAAGTTGCACTTGGGCAGGACACACTCCCTTAGCCTTCAGTCCGGTCCTGTCTCCCCCTCCCTGCAACTTAGGGATGCTACAAGAGACCCTGACTCAGGAGAAAGAGTGGTCTATTTTACTCCCCACTGATTCACTGATAGCATGAGAGAATGCTGCCATTGGAGCAATAATCACATTTGATAGATGGAGAAAGTAAGGCTCAGAAAGGGAGAATGGAGGTGATCAACATAAGGCAAGTTAATGGCAGAACTGAGAACAGAACCCTGGCCTCCTAACCTTGATGCTGGTACTGGGTAGAAACAGAGGATTTCATGGAGGAAATACCCACATAGATACAGAATTTAAGGGAGAGAGGGCTACGATGGCTACCAGAGTTCAGGAGAGGAGCTTCCTAAGTTTCCTCAGTTTCTGAAGGGTAAAATCTACTACACAGATTAACCAGACCCTCTGGGATGGTGTGCAACAATTACCAGTGATGGGCTGAGCTCAAATTGATCATCCCTACAGCAAAGAGCCTTCTATGCTCAGGATGCCAGAGTGCTCAGACAGCAGCCTGATACTGGGAGGAGAAGGGAAAACCATCAACCTCAAAAAGTCAGCTCTTCCCTCAAGGCCAGTCAACAGTCAGTCAAGTCTGACCCTGATATACAAATTACCCGCTTCCCATGGGACCAGGGAAATCCTGTCAGCAAATCTGAAATGTCCCACTGTATGAAACAGTTCAAGCATACATTTGCTTGCCATGAGCTGGAAGAGTCGGAAATATAACAGTGTTTCTGCTATCAGGAAGCAGTTAATCCAAATGCACAGGCAAGTGTACACACACGTACACACACACACACACAAATGTATGTGGGTGAGTTCAAAACAGGCAAAAAGAATTATGATCCCAGTTTGGGCTCCAAGAAACACCACATCTAATCAGTCCAGAAGAGACAAGGAAAGTATGTGCTTTTCTGTCCTCAGGGCACTAGATAGCAATAGTTCTGGGATATTTTGGGGGCTCCTCTTCCAGAGCCTCCACCAGATTGGCAAGTTGCTCAAGGAGCAGGAGCTCACCCTCTATACCACCTCCAGGGTCCTGAAACTCCAGGAGGAGCATGATCTCTGCATCCCCAACGAACCCACAGAACCTGAGAAAGCAATAGGCTGGTGATGGTGAGGGAGCACGGACAAATGGAAGAAGAGAAGTGGGAGGCCCGGGTGTCCCTGTGCAGGTGGGAAAACAGGAAAAGGACTTACCTGAGTAGGAACAACCAGGATCAGCAGGTGTATATGTCGGGAAGGCGGAGAACAGAGATGATCTGGGCACCAAATACAAGGCCTAGCATCTCTACTACTACAGCAGAAGGAATCATCCCATGACAGAGGGATGCAGATAGGATTCTCCAAGAAAGAGAATGTTGAAAGAGGTCGGGGAAACCAGAGGGCAACAGAAAGAAGGGTAAAGTATGAAAAAGAAATTCCTGGGGTTCTACTTCTACCTCTGTCTCTAACTAGAATGGGACCCTGGATAAGTCCCTGTTCTTCGCTGAGCCTTAATTTTCCCGTCCGAAAAATGGAAAGCGCAGACTCTTCCGGGGCTGCCTCTGAGGACACCGGCAAGGGAAGGTGGAGCAAGGAACTGAAGGCTAGAAGTGAATTCAACCTCCCAGCAACTGAGGCACTCACCTGTCCGGCAGCTGGGGCCACCGCCGCCCCCGACCCCCCGGGGGTGCCGTCGGGCTGCCGCTCGCGGTATAGAGCCCAGAGCCCCACGTTGGGCAGGAGGACCAGGGCCGCCAGCACCAGCGCCACCGCCTGCAAGAGCCGCTTCTCTTTCCGCCTCATCGGGGCCGGTCAGCCCCGCCGCGACCCGCCGGCACCGCCGCACCGCCCCCAGCTCCGCGCGTCCGCCCGTCCGCCCGTCCGCCCGTCCGCCCGGCGGCGGCAGCAGAAGCTCGGCGAGCAGAAGCGGCCGCGGCGCCGGCCCCGCTCCAACTCCGCGGCACTTCCGCCGCTAGCCGGCCAAGGAGCCGGGCGCTGCCATTACACCGCCGCCACGGGTGGGGGCAACGCCGCCGCCAACGTCGCCCTCGGGCCCGGCCGAGCCGCGCCCCTCACGCCACCCTCCCCTGGGTCCGCTGTGGAGAGCCAGTGCCTCCGACCTCGTCCTCCTCCGGTTGTCCCTATGCGCCGGAGCGCGACGAGGCCCCGCGTCGGAAACCCCCTCCCCAGGCCGCGATGGTGCGTCCCGCTCCTCCGCGGCTCCCCCGCCCGCCAGAGCTTTGCGAAAGTGCCGGAGTTGAGGAGTTGGGCGCTAACTGGTCCGAGCTGGGTGCTGGTTCGCCGGGTGCGTATTGGTACGTTTGAGTGCGCCACAGGACCCCAGCACCCCTCTGACGACTTCTGCTGCGGACTGCAGCCGGAGGTTGCGAGCTCCCTGGGGCTACGCAGATAGTGCTGGAGCCCCGTGGGGTTCAGCACCTACAGCGCCCGGGGCTGAGGCTCCCCACTTGGCTGGGCCCCAAGGACATGCTTTACCCCCGAGGACTCAGTGTTTTCAGCTGCGCAACGGGACCATAACTGTGCTCAGTGCACACTGTTCCGCCAACCGGCCCTGATTTTCTTTCTGTCCAAGGTCCCTGGCGTTAGGTGTGAACGCCCTCCATACACTATAGAGTGCTGTGTCGCCCGTCCCTGCAAAACCGGTGGGGAGGTGATCTCTCGGTGGCTTACCCAAGTCCAGTCCCCTTCTAGTAGGAATGCCTTCAGTCCCACGTGTGTCTCTGTGGCTACGGAGCCCTTTCTCGAAACCTCCTGTCAGTGTCTGTCTCCCATTGAGCAACTCAGCAAATCATGGGCGGACGGGCGCTAACTGTGTTCCCAGATACTCTGCCAGGCTCCCGGAGGAAGTGAAAAAAAAAAAAAAAGCTCCGAGCCCTGGCGACTGGGAGCTGAAACATGAAAGACTTGGTAGCCCTAGACGCAAAAATGAGTGCACAGCTATGGTAAGGGCTCTGAAGAGGTCGGGGTGTCTGAGCCATGGACCTGGCCTCGGATGGGGAAGTCTGGGACCCCTCAGGACGCTCATCACTTACCTGAGTGCAGAGGAAGGAGCCCCTCCCCTGCCTTCCTTTCTGCACTCTACGCGTGCGCTCTTGATTCTCTTCTTCTCTAGATAGGCCACTGACCCATGTAGCTAGCGGCTCCCAGCCCTGGATCACCATCTTCTCCTCCCAGGTCTTCCAGCACCAGACTGAGCAATGAGGGTATGGTTTCCTGACATCACAGCTCAGGTCTAAGGTCTCTTCCAAAACTTCCAAGGTTTGGAGTTCACACTCCTGGGATGGTACTGGGGCTGGTCAAACCTCTTCTGGTGTCTACCGGCCTACCTTTTCAACCTGGTTCTGGCTTTGTGTTTTCCTGCATGTGCTGTTGATCAGGGAGATCCGTGCACTCAGAAAGTTCTCTTCTTCAACTGTGTCAGCTTGCATCTTGTGCATCCTCCACGACTAGTTCAACCGCCACCTCTTCTACAAAATCCTCTAAAACTCTTCCTCAGGGACTTTCTTTGGATTTCTGTCCAGACAATGGCTACCCTTAATTAAGTACTTAGTGCCAGGAAACATGTAAAAGCCTTGACATGCATCTCCACTTTTAGTGCCTGTGAGGTAATTAACTTTTCCCATTTGCAAATGGGACTCATTAAAGAATGCAGCAGCCAGAATGATCCTGTTTTAACAAAGGTTAGGTTTTTATCACCCCTTTGCTCAAATCCCAGCTGTGGCTTCCAGCCTGCCATTGGGTTTCTAAAAGGAGGAGGCCGTATGACTAAGCCTTCCCCTTTACTCTCTTCACTGTGCTCAGCCACATTAGCCTCCTTGCTGTTCCTCAGACCATGCCAGGTGCATTCCTGCCTCAGGACCTTTGTACTTGTTAGCTCTAGCAAGATGCCCACACTTCTGTTTCTAGATCCTTGAAAATAAATTTTATTGAGATAAAACGTACGGAACAAAATTTAGCATGTGAACCATTTTAAGTGTACAGTTCATTGACATTAGTACATTCACATTATTGTGCAACCATCTCTATTTTTTCATTATCCCAGTCTGAAATGCTGTCCCCACTAAACACCAACTCCTCATTCCCACCTCCCCCAACCACAGCAACCACCGTTATTCTTTCTGCTTAATGAATTTGACTGTTCTGGGTACCTCAGGTAAGTGGATTCCTTTTGTATCTGGCTTATTTCACTTACAATATTTTCAAGATTCATCCATGTCATAACGTGTCATAATATCACTTTTAAGATTGAATAATATTCCATTGTATGGATATACCACATTTTGTTTATCCATTCATCCCTAGAAAGACATCTGAGTTGAGGTGATTCTACCTTCCAGCTATTGTGAACAACCTTATGTCTTTTTTACTACAGTATTTATGTAATTAGATAATGTTGCAGAATTATTTTATGTGCCTCCACACCACTGAGTACAATGCTGCTAACAGGGCAGCCAGAGTGGTCCTTTCATAGACACAGGGTCTCTGAGCTTCCAGGGCTCACCTGTGTCCCTTCACATTTAGAGTAATCCATGAGAAACCTTCCTTACAGCCCTTAAGGCCCATGTGATCTGACCTGACTTCTAGCTTTTGCCTTTTCTCCTTCCCTTCTAGTTACACTAGTCTTGCTATATTTCTCAAACATACCAAGTTGACAATTTGGGCGGGGAATTTGCAAATTTGTTGTGTCCTTGTCTAGAAATTTCTTCCTCTAAACCTTTACATGGGTCCCTCCATTCTCTCAGGAACTAGATCCCAGGTCCTGCCTCAATGAGAGCTTCCCTGACCAGCTGTCCTAAAATATCAACTGACGTACACACACACACATCCATTTGTTTGAGTTTTCTTCAGAGCAGGTCTGAATTGGGTCTCCTCTCTGGAGTGTGAGCTCTAAGCAAGCAGGAACTTAGTATTTTCTTGTCCTTCTATAGCGCCCCCTGCCTCTGTCAGCACTCATTTCCCTTTATTGAGAATCAGAAAACTGGCACTCCTTCCAGGCAGAAGAATTTGCAAAAAGGGTCCCCTTTCCCTGGACCAAGCATTTCAGCTCATACCCTCTCAACCATGGGAAGCTAAACTTACAACCCTCCCACATATAACACACAGTAGGTGCTCAATAATTATTGGTTGAATGAAGTATAGCAATTAAAGTCATAAAAGGAGGGAAAATATTTGGTGTTTCTCTCCTTCCCTCCCCCTCCTCTAGCTCTCTAAAGGATTCTGCAAGAAATTGGATTTGAGCTTTTTCTTAGGTCTTCACAGAGTCACTTGTTGATAAATGCTGGACACCAGCCTGGTGTGGGGACTCTATCCTGAGAACCCGGGTTTAATCCTAGGCCTTTTTGATCACCTTCTATAATGTGAGATGTACCCAGCAGGGAAAGAGCTCCTGGGGCTTTATCCTTCCTGGGAAAACTGAGCTGGCCACTGAATGAAATTGAACCAAAACTGTTAACTTGCAAACTGAGCCCTCGTACAGGGCCTGTACTGGGCATTAAATGAGATAAAGGGCTTACAGCTGACCCTGTCTGGTGGACGTACTAGTAACTGAGGGAGAAATAAAAGCTCAGGACAAATAGATCACTGAGGATGGAGGGACAGGATTTCACTTTAGGGCAAAACCCTCTGCTCTGGCTTGTCCCTCTCTGATCTCATTTCCTGTTGCTCTCCTCACTCGGAATCAACCATAGATGCCTTCCTCCTGAGCCTCGACCACACTATGCTTATTCCAGCCCTGAGACCTTCATATTAGCTGTTGCCTCTGCAGCTGTTTTCCCGGATCTGCCTCCATTGCTGGCCTCCCTCTCATCTGTCAGGTCCCTGTTTAAATGTCACCTCTTCACAGAGCCCTTTTAAAAACATTCTTTCCCAGCATATCTTGCTGTGGTTTCCTCACAGTGTACGTCCCTTTTAGCCACAGTCTCAGTTATTTGCTTGTTTACCTGTTTGCCTTTGGGCTGCTCCAAATAAAATATGGGTTATGTGCCTTGGGCAGGTTTCTTGTCTGCCCATACACTGCCATATTCCCACACCGGGAATATGCACATTTATGCATGACACAAAGAAAGGGATTAAAACATGTATCTGACAAATGTTGAGTGTCTCCTCTCTGCTCCCACCTCCCCAGCATTACTGCCTTTTTTTATTTTTTAACAAGCTGCTTATTCTCTGGCTAGGTCTTCAGTTTTCCATCTTGTCATCAGTAACAGGAAGATTTAACTAGAGGAGAGGTGACAGGTGCAGTCCTTCAACCTTCCTGATGAGGATATAAAACCTTTCCTATGGGGTGTTCTTGGCTTTCTTAGGGGCTATTGTTGTTGATCCCACTTGTCAAAGACTATAGCCTCAAGCTGTTCTGGTCTGAGGTGAAGAGTGTGAAAGTAGAATGGATCTGCAATTCAGGAAGTGCTTGCTGGTCTTTGGGTCAGTCTGTTTCTAATACTCCTTAACCTTGGCCAAGTCCTTTAGCCTCCATTTCCTCATCTGCTAAATAAGGATGACTTAATTTCTAGGCTGGTGAAAGAAGGGTTTGCTTGACCAAAAGAAAGCCTGATAAGCTATAGGTGTCAGATTGAACTTCCATGTCTCCAGCAAGTCAAAAGTTTTCTCACTCCTTTCACCTTGGGGCTCACCAAGCTCAACTGACACATTCTCAGAGAATCCTATCTCCCCAAGCAGAACAACTCACCCATTATGTGTCCTTAGCAGTATCTGTCCTGTAGTCACACTGTTTATGGATGAGGGAGATGGCTTAATATTAGGCTCTTCCACTGAGCTATAAGCCCTATAAGGACAGAGACCATGTACAGTTTGGGGTATTCTTTTTTGTTTTTAATTGACTTTACTTTTTAGAGCAAATTTGGGTTCACAACCAAATTGAGAAGAAGGTACTAAAATGTCCCATATACCCC